GTTTGAGATTCAACTGTTTCAAAGTATCTCAGCACAGGAGTGAGGAAGGAAAACCTGAATTCCAAATTGAAGCTTTAGGAATGACCATCTCTGTAGCAAATCTCTCAGAAAGTTATTTATTCTTGTAGAGTTGGATAACCTATTGATAATGTTATGATCAAAAGTTAATTACAGTGATGGTTCAAGCACAACTTTTATTCTCAAAGTGCTTTGGACAAGAAGAGTTATTGCAAATCATAAGCCATTTGTGACAGTAGTTTAACACAGATATAACAGCGCTCTTTGACACCAACCAGGTTTTTATTAGCCACAGAAGCAGAACGATCACACATTTGTCTTGCATGTAAAATGCCCCTTTCTTTCCCCTCACCCTACCAAGACACTGGTGCTTCCCATTCATTTCTTTGGCCTTTTTATTTGCTCTTTCAAATACCTCTTTCCAGTTACCAAGCAACCTTTGCAATGTTTGGTGCAGTCATACTGCCACAGAGCGTGAATCACTGTTGCACTTGCAAACTGAGAAAACATCTCTGACCAGAAGTGACTTTCTTGTAATGAAGTAGTTAATGTCCAGCACTCCTGGAGTCTCAGACACCGTGGTATAGAACATGTGTTAGCAAAAAGCCATGCTTGAGTACGCAAAATGAATTCTCTGTTAGCTTTTCAAAACTTGCTTTTCTTGACTGTGAGCAGTTCTGTCCCAAAACTGTCGAGTTTTCCATCAAGACTCAGAACTAGTCCAGAGTAGCTGTTCTGCAAAACTAACCTTCTCTTTAAAGGGACTGACCTTAATGCCATACACTAAGATTACATGGGAGCGTGTGCTTGCAAATGCAGTTTCTAGTCTCTAAATATAAAAACAGTTTTAAAACATGGGAGAAAATGTTATCAAGTGTACTTGACTTATTAATTCCTAATGGGAGGGAAACGTGGGAAAATGAGGGCAAGATGCACAGTGGGATGCACGACAGAGGAGTGCTGTGATGAAAGCCTCTGCACTGTATCCCAATACACTTATTAAAAGATTTTCCTCTATTTTCTGTTTCTACAGACGTCTGTTCTGCACATGTGTTCCCTCTTCCATGCATTTATATTTGCTCAGCTCTGGACAGTGTATTGTGAACAAACAGCAGTAGCTCCGACAGTCCAGAATCAGAACGAATTTAGCTTTACAGCGATCCTTACAGCCCTGGAGTTCTGGAGCCGAGTGACACCTAGCATCCTTCAGCTAATGGCACATAACAAAGTGGTGAGTCAGGTGCTGTGTACAGATTTAGTACAGATTACAGTCTGAGGGCTTGGCTTTGTTTCAATGTTTTAGTGGAATACATTGGACTATGAATAACGTCATAAAGCAACTTTGATGCTTTTGAGAAATTAAAGGGAAAGCTAATCAGTTTAAGCTCGGAGTGGGCCTGAAACAGGATCTAGCCCGGATCTGCCTGAAACAGAATCAAGAGCTAGAGTTGCTGTTTGTTGGATTAAGGGCTCCCTGCATCAGGTCTCGTTTTATTTACCTTCCTGCTCTTCAGCGTGGTCCTGTTGTTTAATCTGACTCTGCCTTACAGGAGCAGCTAAGTATTTCAGGATAATTCTGTGAATCTCCATTTGAATATTTTTTTACCATATGATGGTGAAAAAGTGCACAAATGCTGACACTTGGCTACTCATAACCCATTGGTTACTCATCAATAATAAGCTACATAAATATATCTGGAAACAGTTTTGACTAATGAATGACTTGAAGGAAATTTCTCTAGAGATAAGGTTTGAAAGGGAAATGTTCACTCCGTCCAGAAATTTAGACCATTTTTTGGAAATAACTTTTAAGCATTTGTTTACCTCAGCTGCTTACTGCTGTTGGAGCAGCTTTGTACAATAAGAACCCAGAAGGGGTCCAGCAGCCTTCTCATAGGTGCTACCTTTGCTTCCCATTGACTAAAGATTCAGTATGCCTGCAGGCTTAGGGTTGAGAGCTTGTTTCTGATGGGCGAGTATTGTGTTTCCAGCTTCTTAGAAAGTCATGACAAGTCTGTCTTTTAACTTTAACTGAGGTGGTAACTAGTAACTCTGACTCTGGAGAACCTGGTATTAGCTTTGAGGGAGAAAGATTCTTTGTGTCCCAGTCCTCTAGATCAGGCGCTGTTATAGTTTGGGATTTTCATTCTTTGTTTGGAGTTTTTTTCTTATTTAAATGGAGCCCTCTGTCCATATGGAAATTATTTTGTGTAATTCCCCTTTCTCCTTGTGAAACATCTTCCACCCCAGGCAGGTATGGACATTTGCCCTTTCAATTGTAATTGCATGGGCTGCGCTTGAATGTCTTTGAAACAGTTACTATTCCTTTGTGTCTTGTCCATATCAGGCAAGGACCACCTAAAGCTGTCTTTAAATGATATTTTAGCTTCTGACATCTAGTGAGGTCTCTGTGGTTGACAAGCCAGTTGGGAACAGTAGTTCATGAAGCTCCATTTGAATGAACGGGAAATGTGCATAATGCTCCCAACTATAGCCAGTTGTTTAGTCAGACACAAAGGCTTCATGTCAAGACTTAGGACAAGAATATGACCTGGAAGTCCCAAGTTCCAATCCTTATTCTGAAAGTATCTCATTATGTGGCTTTAGTGCAAGTTAAACTCTCTGCCTCAGCTATTGCTCTGAAATGTAGATAATACTTGCCTGTCTCACAGGGGTGTTACAAGGTTAATTAGTTAGTGTTTGTAAAGCACTTTGAAGATGAAAAGCGCTACATAAAAGCTAAGTTTATTATTATCAAGGGGAATTTACACATAGTTCAGACAGGCACTGTAAATACTCACTGCTGGTTCAGGGTATTTGTCTTGTACCTGTGAACTTACATAGTATAAAACATAAAATGCTGTCTACTACCAAATAACTGATATTTGCATCTGTCATAATCCATGTATAAAATGGAAGAATTATGGACTAGCTGCCAGTTCAGAATAATAAATTGTCTTTTGATAGGGGAGGAAAAAAAGATATTTTTTTTGTGGATATGTTAATTTTCAAAGATTCAGTAAATAAAAATATCAGTTGCTGACGCACTGATGGATGAGAACTACACAGCAAAAATCATGTAAAAGGATTTATGATGTCTCAAAAGAACAAAGCTGAAGGCAACTTGTTTTGGTGTGTGATACAAATTAAAATACATCAGGCACGTTGAAATATTTAACAGATAGGTGTTGCCGCATCAGGGAAAACTAAATAAAGAAAAAGTCCCTTATGTGCTCATGTAATATTTAATCTTATTTGTCAGGCTAATAAATGCACATCTACTGATTCAGTATAACTGCCAAGCAAATAAAGGAAGGTTCTTTTTAGAGACTATTGGCTTAGCTTGCAACACTATTATGCTGGACACTAATTTGTTTTTATGCTTGATTTTTTTTTTTTTTTTCCAAGATGGTGGAGATGGTGTGCCTGCATGTGATTAGTTTAATGGAGGCTTTACAGGAATGCAACTCTACTATCTTTGTAAAGGTAGGCATACCACACCATGGGTATTTAGTTAATGATATTGCCTGTCTTGTGATTTCTAGACACATTGTCCTCTGCTTCCCTTCCCACTCAAAAAAAGAAAGTGGAAGAAGCTGTGGTTGAACACTAATGCAGAAATAAAACTTGGTAAAGCGTAAAAAACCCCAATAAAATCTCTGGTAAGAAGTTAAGACCAGACCACAATCTCAAATCCAAGTTCTGTGGATTTTTCTTTTTTTTAAATTAACTTTTGGTCTGCTTTCTCCTTCCACTGTTGCAATGGTCTTACTCCTCTGACAGACTCAACTGGTGTCACTGACTTTGAGAACCTCTAGGTACTGTCTGATTTTTCAGCCATTCTGTAACTTTTAATCATCGTAGGTTCTTTGCAGATCACCTCACAGTTCTCATCCTCGCATTCTTGTAGGTTGATAACAAAAACTTTTTGTTATTATATGCCTATGTGTCTGACCTAGTCAAATATCTTTTGACAGTGAATCTTCTTCCCCTAGGATGGGGGAATCAGTGGTCAGTCTTCTGTGGGTCACTACAGCGTTTTCAGAACAGATTCCCAAGGGGCTGTGGTAGTCTCACAAGTGTAAATCGATTTTACCAGCCATTTTTACGTTTTCCCATTGCATTATTCTGAAGAGAGATCTCACATAAAGTACCAACAAATCAGGTAGTTAAATGCACTCTGAATCTAACTGAAATATGTTGGTTTATGTAATTCTTCTGTTGCCATAAAGGAAACTTCTGATTGTTGCTTACGTACTCCAGTCTTTTATGGTCAAGCAGGAATTAAAAATAAAGTAGCTGAAATTGAAGGTCTTGATGTCAATTGGCATGAAAGTGTTCACGCTTATTGTGAAAATACAGATTTATGGTCAGTAATGACTTTATTTGCTACAGAAACTCTGTCACTATGGGATGTTAAAGTGATCATGTCTGTCCCTGGAAGACTTATGGACTTCTCTTTCAGCCAGTCCAGCATGTCCAGAATTTGACAAGGATGAGGAATGGCTTTAAAGCTGTGAAAAGAGAGGCCTTTAGAGCCACATTCCTGTCACAGTTCAGATGAATACTTTCAAAGGGTTATATTTGACAGTATATATCAATAATATGCTAAATCAGGTTAAAAGGACATTGTTGTTACCACAAAATCAAGCTCATAAACCTGTGAAATTCAGCGTTAAGGTACTAAGCTTTCTTTCATGTTCAGTGGATGGGAGATGGAAGAGAAGAATCTGAGTGACCAAATCCTCTTTACTTAGCCCTAAGGTGAAATCCTGCAGGAACAATATACATATATAATAGTATTATAGTAGTCCCAGGTTACTAATTTTTTCAAAACTAACTAGTTGTAAAAGTATTTATCGTAGTTCTGTAAAGTAAGTGCCATAATTTGGGGAAAGACTTACTGTATGTTTGAAGTCCTTCAAAGAGGCAGAAGTGTAAAACTTATTCACACAGGAACCAGTGAGTGAGTGGCATCTCTATAATTTAAAGAAAGAACAGCTTTGAGACTGTCTCTTCTTCAGTGGCTGTGGAGATGATCTGAACTTTGTTACTCCAATTTCAGAAGTCTGCAAGGATGACAATTCTTTGAATATTAGCTGACTGGGCATTTTTTTGGTAGCTTGTTTTATTCTAGGCAGTCTTTTATTGCCCTGCCTTTGATAATGAAACAATTTTATCGTGTGCTTTTATTTTATTTTAGATAGAAGCCTTTCAAACAAGGTTTGGTTTTCATTGAAGGAAAGGACATAGTGTAGTGAGAGATACTTTTTTTAAACAGAACATTCTTAACACTATTTTGCATATTCATTCAGCAAGATTAATAATTCCCAATGGCTTCGTCTTGGAACTGAGCACAGTAGCACTGATAAATCCTGACCATTTATCATTCATATAACAATTACTGCAGTGTGTTTTATTCCACCGAAGGAATCAGGTGCTGCAAAACCTTCGTTTGTTAATGAAGTCATTTGATTCAACACACACTTATTTTTAGTGTACCACAATGAGAAGGTGGTGCATGCCACATGATGCCAGGTGGTTTATGGAATAACTATCCAAGGTGGCCGTTTACTGTATGACAAGTGAGGTGAAAATATGTCCTAAAACAAGAGAGAAAGAGAAGACATAAACAATTCACCTCTCCTTCACTGAAAGAAGATCTTTCTTTATGCCTGAGATAAGCATCTTTCGTCTCCTCCTTGTGTTGGTGCTGTGAGGTTTCCTTCTCCTGGTACTATGTTGGCCTTTGCTGTTAAATTAAACTCACACTGGTAGCATTGAGACATGTCTTGATCGCTTCCTATAGTCTTTGAGCCATTCCCTGTATTCTTGGAGGACATTTTTTGGATCTGATGTTAGACTATCTTTACCAATCTGGTGAGGAAAACAAAGTTTCTTTCCTGTGAAAACATTTCAGCTGTTATGTATTTATTTCTCTAAGTTGGAGTGATATATATATAGAGAGATATAGATATATATATATATACACACACACACATACATACACATTTACACAGATGCACACATCCCCACATAATATATTTAATTCATTGTATTTTCCTCTGAGGGGAAGCATTATGCTTTAGGAGGGCTGAAATGAAAGTGTTCAGCTTTCCTCCTCTTTTTTTATGTCAAAGGAACTGTGAAACTAGCCATTCCAGGGCAGCCATTGATGATGGAGACCAGCTTCTTGCTGATCACAGCTCTCTGTCTGACCATCATATGTATGTCTGAGGAATTTGGGAGCCTACAGTAGAGAAGGGAGCAGCTCAGCAAACCACAGTGTCTTTTCCAGAGACCCAGGGGTTTTAGGCAGCTCTAGCAGTGGTGGATAGACTTCTAGAGAACTGGGCAGGTAGCAGAGTTGGGGAGCCAGAAAAGCACAGTGGCCAACCTGTTCTCCGGCCAATTTCCATCAAAACTTGCACTGAAATCAGTGTAATTCTGTTGAAAATGTAAACTCCAAAAAAAGACAGTGTCTGACAGCAGTCTGTTCCTGCAGCTGTTCTTTCTAACTAGTTTTATGTATTCTTCGTTTGTGAAGAAAAGGCTGGCTGGGGATTAAGTAATAAAACTCAAGTGTTTCAATAAAAATGTCGTCTTTTCTTATTTATCTAACTGGCAGCTGTAGGAGTGGAGGATTTGCTTTCTTCTGCCTTCAGCAGAATGTTTTATTTCCCTAAATGAAACTTCCCAGACCCTGGAAGTGACACTGGAGGACAATGATCTGTATCTAACCTTAGACCTCTACAGTGCAGATATCAATATGAGCTAGTTTCTGTGAGTGCTCTTTACAGTCAGTGGAGATAAACAGGTATTTTTGGACATGATTCATCTTGTTCTATTTTAGACACTTGCTTTGGAACAAGTTGAACTGGATGCGAGAAGTGCTTGATTCTCTTAGCTGACTGTAAAAGATGTCCAGGGAATTGGTTCAGATGCAGAGGGGTACCCTGAGTTTTCTGTCTAGCTTCCCTCCTTGCTTGACATACTTCTGACACCAGTGCTATCACCCCTGGTGTCATTGGAACTTCGTAATGCTGCGTGAAATTTTCAGTGACGTTGTGTTGATGGCAGTGGGGCATGGACCATGGCTCTCCGTGTGCTTACCTGTTCCCACCTCTCCAACAAACACATCAGGACTTGCGGTCACTGGATCTCATTAAGCATTTCATTAGTGTGGGAGCCCATGGAAGGACATACAGAACTTGCATGTCTGGCGCATCTGGCTGCATTCCAGCTGTTTTGGCATTCATCTGTCTGTAAATGCTGAGGTTTGAATATGGTTCTTCATGTGGTAGACTAAGTAATCAGTCCTGACAGAGCTGCATGTGATTCTCCAATGAAGCAGCACTGAAATTGAAACAATTATGGTTCCTTGCACAAGGGAAACAGCACTTTATCTAATGTTGTCAATAGTGATTAGGTTTAACTTGCAGCTCCCTGTAGCATAATTGGCAAATTGCAAATTTTAATGCCATTTGGAGGAACATTTTAGAACAGTAACCTCAGTGGTTAAATTAATATTGGACAACATGAATACTTTTGCTAGAAATGCTTCTCTATCTTCCATAAGCTTGTCATGTTACACTTACTCAGAAATAAAATTTCTCTGAAGAGCAGGAGACTGAAATACATACCAATCCAATCATGGGTGACAGATTTGCAGACCTCCTTGCCTCGTCATTCTGCATAGTTAGAGTTTTTACCTGTGCTCCCAGGCCTACAGGTCACACTGCAGGGAAGCACTGAGGTGACTAGTGGCCTATAAAATGCTGGTTACCATTTAACTATCATCTGGTCTATTATTAGGAACTTCTGCTGCGTGTATTTTCAGTTCTTGATATACACCTCACAATGCAGAATGTTTACTGTATTTATTCCAGTATTGCTCGCCTGCACATGCAGAAACATCCTCACATGGAAAATAAGAAGTGATTTCCTTCAACAAGTTTATATTCTGTACTCTCATCGTTGCATTAAACAGAATATCAGTAACGGCTACTGGTGATGCATCAAGCTACAAACAAGGGAAGCTGGCTTCTTTACCTCTGAGAGTTACCTCACAAAACATTTGCAAAATATTATAAAACACATGCATCATTTGAAAACAACCACATTTTCAGATTTGTGGTTCAGGCTATGTCCATTTGGACAGCTAAATGCGTTAGATACACCCTTCTGTCTCACAGTAACTGGAGCATGTTACATTCACTTGTATAATAACAAAATATACCTCTCTTCTTACAGCTCATACCAATGTGGTTGCCAATGATACAGTCAAATCTAAAGGTAAGTTGTTTCTAGTATCTTATCCTTTTATTCTTAGTGTTACATGTTTCTGTAAATTCTGGAAATAAGATCACAGATGTGGTCTCCAGACTCTCTGAAAATAGATCATTGTTGCATATCCAGATGCATTGGATAGCTCAGCACTGGACTCAAGTGTGAGCATACACAGAGCATCATCAGCCAAGATACTTGTCCTGTAATTAGTACTGCCTTCCCTTTCCCTTCTGAAACACTTTTCTCTACCCTTCTGCAGCAAGGCCTTTCTCCCTGTTTACTGAGACTGGTGGTTCCCTGAGCTGTGGTTTTCTTGATGTCTTAGGGTTGAGAATCCCCTGACAAATCAGGATTGGGACTCTTGACTCAGGAGAGGGATTTGGGGTTCTATAGCAGATACTGTGGTCCTGCTTGCTTGGGTGAAGCTGTGCCGGCTGGCCCTGTTTGTAGGAGAGAGCAAGGGTTCAGTGTGGTTTGCCAGTCAAGAGAATTTTGGTAATGAGAATGAAAGTGTTGAAGTTGGTCTCAGTGTGGAGTTGTTTCTGTAAGCGTATTTGGCTTTCATGGCAATAATTCAGTGCAGGATGTGGAAGAAAGAAATGTGACTTTGTGGCAGTGGAGGAACCTTCCCTGGCCAACAACCAGTACCTTTCACGGTGCTGGATTGATGTATGTGTAAAGGACAGTGAATGTTTTGCGTTATTTCAACAGCACTTGTCTGCTGGACTCCAGCTACGCCTCCAAGCCATCCAGAGCAATGTCAACCATCACAGCCTAAGGATGTTGCAGGGGTCAGGACAAATGAACAATAGCTCATCTGTGCTCCGCAAATGGCTACAGTGTACCCAATTTAAAATGGCTCAAGTGGAAATTCAGTCATCAGAAGCTGCGTCTCAATTTTATCCTTTATGATTCATGTAACTTGTTCCAAATGTTCATTTTTAGCCTAGCAATAACAGAGTTAGAGCTGTAAAAGACCTTTTGTATAAATTGGTATAGAGTATATACCATATCTATACTTTTTAGCCTAGGACAGATTGTGGAGAAGCTTTTAACGGGTGAAGCGAAGAGCCTGATCCTGCCAGTCTTTAATTACAGTTATTTAGGATCAACAGGTTCTCAAGTCTGCATTCGTCAACATATGTTTGCAGGATTGGATTCAAATCTATCACGTTGTACATATCTCTCTGATCATTGAAATATCTTGTTCTTAAATGTTTCTTTACATTATTTTTGAAGCTAAGACAAAAATCACTTTTCTTTAACTTCTATTTTTTTTAAAAATAGAATTGTTGGTATTCACAAACATATGGAAGTGCTATGTTGCTATTTTTTGACGATTACAAAAGAAAACAGGGTTTTTAGGAACCTTTATAGGAGTTTTTTTGGGGGGTGTCTTTTTTTTTTTTAAATTCACAGCTGGCAATGCAATAAAACCTGTTACTATAAACCAGTGATATTCTAATGAGGCTTTTTGTCATCATCTTCTGGGGAAACAGCAGCTTGTAAGGAGAGTTATTATGAAGTGCACTTAGAAATTAGGTTGTTAAACTGTGCCAATTCATTTGTCATTTTCTTCAGTACTGTTTTCCAAAACTGCCAAGTCTGATTTATTATTTTTTGAAATATTGCTTTTACGTCATTGATTCTGTGCTGCTCTTTGTAGGTTTCATAGAAGCCTCTTTAATTTTGTGACTACTGTATTGTATTCTTCTGTCAATACTTGTATACAGTGCAATTAAAAATGGATATCCCAGACCTATTCTTGTTGATGTCTACAGAAATTATGTTGCAGACTTCAAGAGGAGCAGGGCTGGATCTGAACTTTTGCATAATGATATTTACAAATCACAGCATTTGCATACTATTGTATTAAACATGATGTTTAATAACAGATGGCTTTTAATATCGTTAAGTGACTCAGCCAAAGCCTATTGGAATCTGAGGAGACTCAATTAATTCAGTGGATTTTACATAAAATCTCGAGAGCACCATGATTTACCACCACTCGTAATTAATGCTTAAATCTGTGCAATTAACAGTTGTATTTTATGTATTTATTCCTGTAATGCATTGATTAGAAGAATAAGAAACACATATTTAAGTTGTGTATTAGAATGCTATTAAATTCCTAGTCTTTATTGCCACTCTGAGAATCAACATTCTTCCGCCCTGCTTGCAGGGAAGTGGAAAGGCATACCTGTAAAGAGCTGCCTGAGAACATTTCAGTTGTTGCAGAGGGTCAATCGTTCCCCAGTGCATTTACCAAAGAAAAAATGGAAATGTTTGCTGATATGCCATTAAAGTACCATTATGCTTTTTAAAAAAACCACCACACCTAAAACCAAAAAACCCAAACCAAATAAAAAAAGACACTAAAGCGTGTGCTAGCTTGCTTAAAAGATGCCCCTCTGTATATTTTCAGTGGAAAGAAACTGATTTGGCTTTCCTTCCTTCTCAGATTCACACATTAATAGAGTCTAAGCTTAAAATGGACCAGTCTATCCAAAAGAACATCTAAGATTCATCATAAGCTATTTAATTGTAACTAGTTTTGCTGGTATTTGCTTGAAGTGAGTGACTTGCACCTGACTAAGCAGAGTTTTTGAGCTTCTGGAAAATGTTTCTGTCTTGATGTGAAGATGAAGAGATCCACCAGATAATTTCTCAAACTGAATTGAGATTGCACAGACCTGCATGCGTTGATAAGGGAAGGCTTCTTCCCAGATTTTCTTAGTGGTAAGAGAGGGAAACAGCATTTTCTTTCTCCAGCTTTTGACTGGCTATGGGGAAGAAAGAACAAAGTGATACAAATGATTATACATGTTCCCACTGCTTCTTTTTTCCTCTCTGTTGTCACTTACTAATTAGCTGATAATTATTACAGAATCACGGAGTGGTTGAGGTTGGAAAGGACCTCTGGAGGTCATCTGGTCCAACCCACCCGCTCAAGCAGGGTCACCTAGAGCCAGTTGCTCAGGAACATGTACAGATGGCTTTTGAATATCTCCAAGGAGGGTGAATCCACAACGTCTCGGGGCAACCTGTGCCAGGGCTCGATCACTCTCAAAGTAAAAAAGTTTCCTGATGTTCAGATGGATTCCTGAAGGCCAGTCTTGCTGGTAAAGACTGAGGCAAAGAAGGCATTCAGTACTTCAGCCTTTTCCGCGTCCTGTGTAACCATCTTACTTCTCTTGGGGGTGCTGGGGGCTGAAAACCTGAATATGCGCCAGCAATGGGTGCTTGCAGTCCAGAAAGCCAATCGCATCCTGGGCTGCACCAAAAGCAGTGTGGCCAGCAGGTCCAGGGGGGTGATTCTCCCCCTCTGCTCTGCTCTGGTGAGACCCTACCTGGGGTCCTGTGTTCAGCTCTGGGGCCCCCAGTGCAAGAAAGACATGGACCTGCTTGAGCGGGTTCAGAGGAGGCCACGAAGATGATCAGGGGACTGGAGCACCTCCCCTGTGGGAACAGGCTGAGAGAGTTGGGGTTGTTCAGCCTGGAGAAGAGAAGGCTCCGGGGAGACCTTAGAGCGGCCTTCCAGTCCTTAAAGGGGGCCTACAGGAAAGGTGGGAAGGGACTATTTATCAGGGAATGAGGTGATAGGATGAGGGGTAATGGTTTAAAACTGAAAAAGCAGAGATCTAGTTCAGATATTAGGAAGAAGTTCTTCACTGTGAGGGTGGTGAGGCACTGGAAGAGGTTGCCCAGAGAAGCTGTGGCTGCCTCCTCCCTGGCAGTGTTCAAGGCCAGGTTGGATGGGGCTGTGAGCAACCTGGTCTAGAGGTAGGTGTCCCTGCCCATGGCAGGGGGGCTGGAACTAGATCATCTTTAAGGTCCCTTCCAACCCAACCCATTCTGTGGTTCTAAGACAGATGATTTGCAGGCAAGAGTAGAGCCTGAGATAGTTTGTCTTTAAAAGACACTTCTAGGAAACCGGAGACACGATCAGTCATCTCACTCAGTAGATAATGAATGTAGGCAACATGGTGCAAGCGCTTTCCCTGCCTAGCAAAATTTCTGCTTCAAAGCGTCTGGTATTCAGACTAGCAAAACACAAAAAAATTGCAAATATAGTGTTGGGTAGTTACTAAAAATCAAAGACAAACCCAAACCAGACCTGCTGACTCCAGGTCTATACAGAAACACTTTAAGACTTTGTGGGAATTTAGATCTGGTTTCAGCTCAGGGTTTAGAGATAACAGCTGGTCACAGAATCTGCTTCCATGCCTGAATATAGGGTTTAGCATGAGTCTGTCACTGATTATAATTAATATGGTTCTCATGGAGCTGTTATACATAGCCAAACTGAGTCTGTAAATATGAATTGAGAAGCTGCTTTAGCACCAAGAATGCAGCCTATTATTGACTAATAATATACAAATAACATGGGGCTTGGCTGGATATGTGTGGTTTAACACCTGATGAAAATCTCTAAGTACACTCTAGGCCTAGGCATCTTCAGAAGTACAGAAATCTGCATTAATTGTTTTTAAAAGCACTGTAAAATATATCCTTACAGTGCCTGAGGTTAATATACGGCTCCAGTGAGTCATTCACATTATACCTCTGAAATAGCCCAGAGCAGCAATTCTTTGTATTCTGTAGGAAGATTATGAAGTAAACAACATTTGGTGTTCCCTAAAAATGCTACCAAATAGCAGAGGCCAATCTTCTTGGTCTGCCACGCTCCCAGCACGGCTGTGTCGCTGGCAATGTGTCACCAGGAGCAGAATCCATCCTCTGTCTGATCATAGAAAGCTGCTGTTTAGGAACAGCGTTAAGTCATCTGTTGCAATAAGCTGCTTAAATCAATGCCTGTTACCAGGCCTGACCTAGTAAAAGAATCAATTTACTGTGCACTGAGCTATGAAATTTTCAACAACATGGGGCACTTTGCATGAAGCGACGGTTAGAGCCCCACACCGGCCGTGGCGCGTTGTACTGCTGGATTACCCAATTCGGTGTCCTGAAAGCGAGGTTAACATCTGCTCTGGGCACCCCAGGGTGAGTTCCTGCTGCTAGTGAGAAAGCTGCTGGCTGAGCTGTGCGCAGGATCGCACAAACAAAAGGCTTTTGCAGCACACCCGTTAGCATCTCTTAAGTGCCTTATCTTACACGTAACATTTCTGTAACATCTCATTAGACCCGTGGCAGGTCAAAGGCCCTAAAAACACACAGTCTGTTTTCTGGCTCTGTTTTTCATGCTATGACAACAGTCGATGTGCTCTAGGACTGACAAGTGTTCTGGGCCCAAAGATCTCTCTGAACTCTGGCCTGCATGGCCTCCTTTCAAGCTGGATGAAGATTACCAGAGCCCAGGGCTGTTTAGTCTTTGCTAGCATATCCTGGAAAAGAGCTCTGCAGCAAAGGTCCCTGTGCTGTTACCCCAGCTGCACACAGCTCTAGGAGAGTTTCATCTACTGTTTTTCTTGAGGCATCTTAACATGACTCTTCAGCAAGGCTGAAGTTTATATTCTTTCAGCAAGATTGCGTGAGGGATATTTAGTCAACCATGTGGGTCTTCCTCTTCGCAGTCTGCCTAAAATCAGGCGGAGGCAACGGCATTACAGTTGGCTTAAAGTTGACACGCCATTTGTTTGGCTTGATGCAAATTTGAAAGGAAGGGCTGTTGATTTATGACTCTGAATTACTCTGTCCACTTCTGCCTCTCCCTGCTGAGCACAATTTCAGCTGGAAGCTGAGCATCAAGGGACAGCAGTAAGAATAGCAGTTGGAGGAAGGGGAAGGTGTCCTCATGCCTCTCCAACTGCAAAGGATCAGCTAGAGGACCTCAATCCACCCTTGTGGCATTGGCCTCCCCAGGGCTAGCTGATGGGGAGTCAGGGGCCACCATGGGAAATGCCTTGGGTCAGATAACAGAAGGCCACGTGATGATGAGGCCTGGCCAGCCTGGTGAGATGCCGTGGTGCCTAAATCCTGCAGCTGCGAACTGGGAGATTTCAGGTATCGCCGTGTGTGGTTGGTGTATCGTAACTTGTGTGCAAAGAGCAGGAGGCTGTGAAGGGCTGGCAGCGCTTGGGACGGGTGGCTGGTTTCTCATTCATCGTTATGAAGCATTAACATGGAAAAGCAGAACGCGTGACTCAGTCAATGGAAGTCTACATCATTAATTACTTTCCAGTATTTTGCTAGATTTGATAGATTCCACAGGGCTGCCAGCCGACTGGCGAGCAGGCTTCTATGCACCACCCCAGGTAACCTACTCTGACATTGCATTTAACCAGCTCCCCATCAAACCTGGCAAGCCAAGACTGTGAGCTGGGAGGCTCTAAGTTTGATAGACACAATGTAATGCTAGGTCAGTTTTCTTGATGTATAATTCAGCAGCTGGGCAACATAACTGTTGTGGCTGGTTTACTATTTTAAATCCTTTCAAAAAGGTAACAGTGGCATGCCTGTGAAGTGTACACACAGAATAAAAATTTTGTAGGTAGGCAGGTTAGATTTTCTGGCAGCTCCATGGCTTTCATGCAAAGTCAAATTGATTCCAGTGAAGTTCTTTACAAAAGCTTTTCTAAACCTGTGAATCCTTGCCACGCAGGAAAGTGTCAGTAAAACAGAATGTAAAGGACCATCATTAAAAGAAATAAATAATTCGTTAAAGCTGTTACCCATTTTGCACTACTGAGGAAATCCTGTGTACATGGTGTTGATTAGTGAGATCCAAAGCAAGTACAAACTGCCAGACATGTGCTGAAATCTACAGAGAGGCATGATTTATACCTGTTAAGGATCAAACTGTGTATTTATAGTTCAGAAGGAACAAGAATTGATACTGTGAAGCAACTGAGCACCACAGCAGTATGTATTTCTGGTGCTAGTCGGTTACGAGGAGGTGTCAGATTAAACTGCTAAACTGATGCAGCCGTGATTTAATCTTCTTCCTCCAGACACGTTTATTCAACACCAGGTTTTGCCATCATTGCACAATCAAGCCAGCAATGGAGGTTTTCTTATTTGTCACAGAGGGAATGGCACATTTCTTCTGTGTTCATCTTGCCTCATCAGTTTGCTCTGATCACACACACCTCAGAGCTCTTCCTAAGTCATCTTACTGCTCCAGTAGCTGCAGCTCTACTTTGCACCAAGCTGGCTCAAATACCAGATGCTCGTCTGCTGTAACTGT